CAATCACTTTAAAGTAGTGTCAGGATCCCATCATAGCGTATAGTGAATCCACGCATGAACTGCACATTTGAGATCTCTCAGGTGTGGCCCAATGATGACACAATATTTTTAAACAATTTATGGCTTCACACAACAAACCATGAGTGAGAATCTGAGTGAGTGTGTAAATATTCAAGCACAACTGTATTTATTTATAAGGTGTACACAGTATTATATGGGAGTTGAACTTGTCTTTCCCGGCATGCTCCGATACCATAAAACTTTCAATTTTGCTTACAATACTTGCAAGTGTTCCTTTCATACATCTGCGAGTGTCTGAAGCCGTAAACCACGCCGCTTATCGCTCAGAACAATTCCAAAGTAGACCTGAGGGACCGCAATATTGGTTCGAGGTCCGTCTTGGGTCCCTGGAGCGCATTTGGTCACGCTTGATTCAACCCATTATTTTTTTTCCTCTCCTTTTTTCTCAAATTGAACAAACAACTGGACGATTTATGTACATAGATTAAACACGGATGACACTGAAGACTTCTGGGCGGTCCTGGGCGCATGAATATTGCATCGCTGAAATTTATACAAACATTATGTGGCTTCCAGCGGATACACCAGATTAAAAATAAATATGACGCAATGTAATGAGCAAAACGTATCCAGAGAACAGAAGTGCGAAGAGCCACATAATCATATACCGCTCACCATGATTTATTTAGCGTGATATTTTATTCATGTTCCAATGCAAGGCGAAGGCATCACCTGTAGTGTACATGTTCAACCCGCCGCTATTGTGTCTGCAGGGCCATACATCATTCTTTCAATAACGCCTTGTGGAATTTTAAATTGAAGTAATGTTTAGCCTATCTAATCAACTAGGAATAAAATGTGAAATGACAGCGCCATGTTTGCATGTTTTGGCTCTGGACCTCCAACCCTGACAGTAATATAATAGTGACAGCAGGGGGACAAAGATGGAGGGAGTGTCGTCATTAAGAGAAGCCATCGCTGGGAGGGGGGGGAGAGTTCTACCTCTGCATCTAAATGGCGCTTAATGTGGCGGCGTGTCCTTTGCCTGGCTTTTCTTTTTGTGGTTGCATGTGGGGAGATACCGTGATGGCTGAAACTGGTTTAAAGAAGGGATGGGAAAGGTAAGATATTTCAAAGTATGCACACGTGACCAATTGTCAAAGGTGTTCCTCTATAACCTCCTATAATATGTATAAAAATGCCCTTTGGTCTTATCTTCAAACACCTTGTAATTGTTTTTGAAATGTGTGTTCTACAATGTCCTACTGTATCTGATTTTGTTTACTGTAGAGCTGTGTGAGTGTCTGTTGTCGCTTGTGTGAAAGGAAGTGTGGAAAGGTTTATGTTCAGTAATTTTTCATTGTATTATAGTATTTTTTTGGTTATGCCCCTGTACTGCTGTTTCTGTCTTGTGTTTTGACTTTCTTCTTTCGAGGACCCTCTTGAAAACGAGATGATGCCTCCCAAGGGGTTTATCCTCTCAAATGAGTAAATAAATAAATGAATAATTAAAATTAAATGTGCCTTAAAGTGTAACTCAACACCTGCGCAGGGCTTACCTCCAGCCAAGAGCTAATTCAAAATAGCCCTCCAAAGAATGCCCAAAGTCCGGATGTGGGCTTTGGTGATTGCAAACAACATGCCAAATCTTACTGTAGGTGATAACTCTCATAATATGGACCAAGCATGTAGTGGACCTTTGTGTTTGGACTTCAGCTCCTGCCCCTTCTACCAGTAAACCCAGTAGAAAAATTACTGACCGCTTTGCACAGGAAGCATGCCAAGAATGATGCCAACATTGGAGCTATGTGGCTAATATAATGTAAATTCCTCATTCGGTAATTTTTCAGATAATGTTACAGTACTAACATTGGCGCTAATGATGGCTAAAATAAAATAAGATGTGAAAACAAGAGGCGACTGTCAGAAATATATATCATAGATCACTGATGTACCGTTAGGATACAGTTCCTTACAGATTGCTGTAAAACAAATTTACGGTATTATTCCACATTATTATTATGTTCTGAATTCAAAGCATAAATGCTCATCTCCATTCTATGGCCTCACATTTTCCATTTAGTAAAATCACAGTTTCACAAACAATGTATGAAGCTTGTAGAGACGGTTGACATTCTGAAGGATAACAATATTTTACAGTAACAACCTTTTTTCTGACTCAATAAAATCTTGTGCGATTAATTTGCAGGGTGTTTGCATTTGTCTTGAACATAAAATGTGTTAAGCTGGTGAGAAGCCGTAGTCCCTAAAGGAAAATATAAAAAATAATGCTGTAGATTATGTATCGTTAAAGATTCACAGTAAAGCCTTCTAATTAATATGACTCCACAACTTATACATTTCTATATGTTCTATCCCTAATCATCACTACACACATTTATTGTTGAATGGCTTAACAAATTACCTAATTATTTACTGTGAATACAATGTCAAAAACAAGTGAAAGGACTGTACATTTCATTTGAATTGACAAGTTGGAAAAAGCAGGAGATATCAAATCAAACAATATTGGATTCAATGTTTATTCAGAACACAAATCTTTCCAAAGGTTTTTGTGTTTAATAATTTGAGATAAACCAAGATTTTGAATTGTAATGTTTGAATAAGTAAGTTATAGTCATTTACGTTTGTGTTTTATCAGTATTCTCCAACCGCATGAAGAGTTAAGACTTATCATGGGGAGTCTAGAACAGTTTAATTTCAATTTTTTTTTTAGTATGTTATAACTCTATATAGTATACATATACTTACACTTAGTATATTATATTTAGTTATAATATAAGTATGTTTTAATAAATATATTATAAAACATACAGTATTCATACACAAATTCATATTTGTAGTATATTACAACCGTTTGAGGAAGTGTGGATAGGGAAGTCTAGGCGTCTTTACTTAGACTGCTGCCCCCACGACCCGGCAACGGATGAAGTGGAAGAAAATGGAATGGAATGGAATAACCTTTTTACCTTTTTCCTTTTTAATGTTTTTTTTTTTGTCTCCATGAAGAAACAATGAAGACGAAGTGATAACATGCTATACAGTCCGTGTCTTTCTTTGGTCTCCTCCCCTTTACCATTCCACTCAGGGATCCATCAGTCAGTCATCCTCACATCCGTCTCCCTTATGCCTGCTTCTATATAGGCTCCGATTTTCTGTTTCACCAAGGACGTGGCTCTATCTCCCTGCCCCCCTCTCCCCCCTCCTCCGTGGCCAAGTCTCTCTCCCTATCGCTATTCTTTGGTCGCTCATCTTTCTCTGAGATAACTGTGGACTGGCTCTTTCATCCCCCTCTCTCCCTCCCTCCCTCCCTCCCTCCTTCCCTTAAGAGCGGCCTGCCCGGTACACCCCGACCAGCGGAGTCAGCATTTCAGTCCTGTGTGATGTCGCGAACCCTTCTTTCCATTCCTAACCTATGTATATGTGCGTGGAAAAGGCAGGAAATGCGGAGGCTTTGCGGCTAGAGAAAGCAGGCTATAATACGTGAGCAGCTCTTGTGTGTTGCACGGGGGAATAACTCACCCAACTGTGCTTTACAAGAGGTGATAAATTGCAGTCAAGTGCGTCTCCACTGGCTCGCATTCCCCAGCACAAGTCCGTCTTATTGCTTGTGATGAAAAGATTGCAATACAACTCTATAGTGGCTACAGTTCAGACAAAATGTGTATCTGGTCCACTACGTGTTTATAACAATATGTCAAATGTGTGTGTCTTAACCAAGTGTATTACTTTAATCCTTTGTATCAACATGTGATCTGACGCTATGGATTTTCATGTCAAGATGAAATATTGAATTGTAATGCATACTCTTGCCTTCAAAATCTGCGTATGAATGAAAGGGACTGAAATCCAAGTAAACAGATCACAACATTATCATTATTGTGTTAACTGTTATTTATCTGACAAAATCATTCAGTATGACTTATGACATCAACTGAAAGGCTCAAACCGGAGACCAATCCAACAACATTTCCTGGATTTTTTTTTATTTTTTAAATGCCCTCATATCAGAAGGTCATGTTATCAAAGATAGTATATATATAAAAAAAAGAACAGTGGATTGCAGTAGAGTGAATATTACTCAAACCAACATGAGTCACTTCTAAGCGAGGGTACCAAGATTTTTTGTTGATAAAAATGTTTTTTTTTGTCCCAGGAGAAAGTGTTTTTTTTTGCATTGACACTTTGGGCAGAGAGATAATTGACTGTTCATGTTTTTAGTTTGTTTAAGTTAGGTCACTAAGCTTTAAATGCATTTGAACCAAATGATAATGAGACACATTATTAAAAGTTCCTAAAAGGTGACTTTTAGAGGAATGAGAAATGCCTTTTCTCCTACATTCAAAGCCCCTTTCTTCTGACAATCCCCCATTTTGTACATCCGCTGGTAAACTCCCACATATCTGCAGCTTTGAGCTGCATCCTTTCAGGTGATGACATTTATAGTGACAGGGTCTGGCATGTAAATCAATATAATGTTGTTAAACATGGACATCCACGGACTCCATTCTTTTATTCACTTGTTTTAAATGTTAGATTGAAACAAACACTATGGTCTATGGATACATCAGATTAGAGCAGCTTGGTTCTCCTTAACTGTTCAGATATGTGATCGGCACTATACATTTATGGGAGGAAGGAATCCAACTATACATTTATATAACTGGAATGATCTTCAGAGTATTCCATTTGGGGTATTGACTTTTGTGGTTTGATAGAGCTGTATTATTACTTACAAATAATCACATTTTCACAACTCGAGGCTGTTAGGTGCTCTGCCTTTTCCACAAACCCAGTGCAATAAATGAGTTCTGTCAATACTGTCAAAAGCCCATCTCCATTTTAATTCCACAGCATAGCTTATTGGTTATCGACCCGTCCCTACACAGCACCAGTATACACAAGTTTGAACAATAAAGGGAACAAGAAAAAGAACCACAGGTAACGAAGCGCAATACATGATACGTGTGATGGGCAAAGCTCCCTGGTCCCCGGTCTTTGCCGAAGACAGAGGAGGATTCTTCCAGCGGAGGGGACACGCTGGGAGGGAGCCGGTGGTGGAAAGGGTAGGGGGGGTGTTGAATGTGTTAATACACAGGAACACTGCATCAAACCAATGCACTGCTCTGAGGCTGGCTGAGCAGCTGAGAGGAGTGCGTCAGCAGTACATTCACGTTGCCACTGAAGGACAAAAGGGAGGGAGGGGGGTAAGGCAGAGCGAGCGTCTTAGGCTGCCCGCAACACCGACACGCGCTCCGACACTGCTGGCTTGAGGGGGGGTGAAGAAGAAGAGGGGAAAAAAAGCAAGCAGCGATCAGGCTGGAGAATAAACAAGAGGAGAAGCCGCGGATTAGAATGCTGCTCGTGCGCTGCCGTGACGGTGGGCTGCCTGTTTGAGTCCTCGCCTGCGCTCTATCTTTCTTCTGCTCTTCATCTGTCACTTCTCTCCCTCCTTCTCTCTTAATCTACCCAATTCCTCCCCTCTTTCTCTCTCTTTTTCTATTCTCTGGCTACTGCAGTGGTCCGGCAAGCAAGCAAGCAAGAAGCCAGCCACACTTACCAGCCAGCCAAATGCAGCGCACGCACATGCATGCGACCGAGTAACTGCCACAACTTACTACCTCAGCTCTCGGAAAAGACAAACTAACGTGTGCGGGCTGGTGTGGAGCCCTGCGGGAAAAGGGACAAGAGAGAGGACAAAGTGTGCAGTGGACGAGGACACCTTGTTTATGGAAACGGTCTCCACGCGCTGACTGGCTTCGCGCTCATTGCAGAAGAGGACAAGAGCGCTTCCTCTCTTCTTTATTTTTTTTTCTCCAAGATACGAAGCAGCGCAGTGCATCCCCCCCTTTTCCTCCTCCTCTCCCCCCCATCCGCTGCCACCATCTCACCCCCCTCCCCTCCAGGAGCAATAGACGGATTACTGCTAACTGTGCACACGGCAGCCCGCAGCTGCTCTGACCGGGGCCAGGCAGACCGACCGACGATTGGGCTGGGTGAGATGACTGTGCCGGCAATTCTTTCGCTTTTTTCTCTGCCCCTCGGTCTCTGTCAGAACGGGGCTAATCAGCGTAGCCCCTGGCAAAGTCACAGAGAGAGGGAGGTCTAACCAGCAAACCAGTCAGACCACGCACCGGGACGGAGAAAACTGAGGATTTGTACATATTTTTGGCTTCTCTGGTGACTTATTTTTTTCTGCCACTCCGCTCCCTGTTCTGTTGCGTCTCGCTGCGTTATGGATCATTGTGATTTATCCAGCGCGGAGTGCCGACTGGGGGTCTGCAGCTTGGCACTGGGGCTGTTAGAGAGGGCAGAAGGGATCCACGGAGCTGCCAAGCTTTACTGGTCTTACATCTGCTCGTAAGTGCTTTCCATGATGCTTTCAGTCTTTTAATACCAGGAGCCATTTTGTACCCTTGGCTAATAAAGGGGCACTTTTTCAGAAAGAGGAAACAAGAAAACAGCTCTGTGTGTCGTCTTACCTTGGGATGGATTTATAAATTAATGTGACGCAAGAAGACTGCTTCTTTTTGAGACTGACGAGAAGAAATGGTGTGATTTCAAACTAATGAGGTATGTCTCAATAATTGTTGTTCTAACAATGCTGCAGTGCTTGTGCGTCTGTACTTAAAACCACTCTTACTGCATTTTTTTCTCTCCTTTTCTCTCTCTCTCTCAAACACTGTCTTGATGTAGCGCCCTTCAACACTGTCGATGGAACTTGGGGGCACCGAGTTGCTCCAACCAGGCTAAGGTGGTGTGTCTGTGGCGGGTGTATGCCATCTCCCCCTACCATGCAGAATAATGAGCCCTCCGCACCATGAGTCCTCTGGGCCAGGTTAGTGTGAAGCTTACCTGGAACACAGCTTTGCTCGCCGTGCTCTCCCTCATGGTGCCTCTGAGTATGTGCCAGTCCACAGGCCCCGCCACGGGCCCCACACACCCACAGAACTGTCCAGCTGTGTGTTCCTGCACTAACCAGCTCAGCAAGGTGGTGTGTACCCGCCGCGGCTTGTTGAGGGTGCCCCCAAACATCCCCACCAACACCAGGTACCTGAACCTTATGGAGAACAGCATCGAGACCATCCAGGCTGATACCTTCAGGCGTTTGCACCATCTAGAGGTACTGCAGCTGGGCCGCAACGCTATCCGACAGATTGAAGTTGGAGCGTTTAATGGGCTGACCAGCCTGAACACCCTGGAGCTGTTCGACAACAGGCTAACAGTCATTCCCAGCGGGGCCTTTGAGTACTTGTCAAAGTTGAGAGAGTTGTGGCTACGAAACAATCCCATCGAGAGCATCCCATCCAACGCCTTTAACCGGGTCCCGTCCCTAATGAGGCTGGACCTGGGGGAACTGAGAAAACTGGAGTACATCTCGGATGGGGCTTTTGATGGGCTCCAGAATCTCAAGTATCTAAACTTGGGGATGTGCAACCTGCGGGAGTTTCCACATCTGTCTCCGCTGATGGGATTAGAGGAACTTGAGATATCGGAGAATGTTTTTCCTGAACTAAAACCTGCGGCCTTTCATGGACTAAAACATTTACGAAAACTCTGGATTATGAACTCTGCCATCACCATCATTGAGAGAAATGCATTTGACGACAACACAGCTCTGGTGGAGCTGAATCTAGCCCATAATAATCTGTCATCGCTTCCACACAACCTGTTCACTCCTCTGCAGTATCTGGTGGAGCTCCACCTCCACCATAACCCATGGCGTTGTGACTGTGATGTAGTGTGGCTCTCCTGGTGGCTCAGAGAATACATTCCCACTAACTCCACGTGCTGTGGACGCTGCCACACCCCTCTCCACATGAAAGGCCGCTTCTTAGTGGAGGTGGATCAGACCACCTTCCAGTGCTCTGCCCCGGTCATACTCGATGCCCCCAGAGATCTGAATATTTCAGCAGAGAGAGTGGCTGAGCTGAAGTGTCGCACGGCAGCCATGAGCTCAGTGCGATGGCTTCTTCCAAACGGCACTGTATTGACACATGGGTCTTCTCACCCACGAATATCTGTGCTTAACGATGGAACGCTCAACTTTTCCAACGTTCTGCCCTCTGACACGGGCATATACACCTGCATGGTGAGCAACATGGCAGGAAATTCTAATGCCTCAGCATATCTAAATGTTAGCAATGCTGAACTCAATACATCTAATTTATCCTACTTCACCACTGTCACCGTGGAGATAATGGAGCCCACAGTGGAGGAGACCCCTAAACCCAAACCCACACTTCCTGCCTCTCCTTCTGTGTTTCAGCCCGTCTTTATCTCCACACCCACTGTGTTGTTCCACAACACTCAGACTCCCAGGCAGGTGTCCATCCCCACTGCCAAGATCCCCAGTGGGCCCGCTGCCAGCCTTGATGAGGTCATGAAGACCACCAAAATTATTATTGGCTGCTTTGTTGCAGTCACCCTGCTGGCAGCTGCCATGTTGATAGCTTTTTATAAGTTACGCAAACGACATCAACAGAGGAGCACAGTGGCTGCAGTGAGGACCATAGAAATCATTCAGATGGAGGATGAGGTTCCTCCGGTTCCTCCCACCACTTCTGGATCTAGCGGCTCAGACGACACAGGAATGGTACTGCCCACTTTAGTGGAACACAACAGCAACACCTTTAAACCTGGATATGTGTCCTCCACCACTCGGCAGGGGAGTTACGGAGCACACTGGACCCACAACAACTCTCTGCACCGCTCAGTCAGACAGCATCACAGCCACATCAGCACTATCTCTGACCCTTACATCATAAAGACCTCTCATGGCAAGGATAAGGTTCAAGAGACCCAAATCTAAGGAACGCTCTCTATGGATCTAACAGACTGCCCTCCTCCATCATTCTGCTCACTCATCCATGCAATAGAATGCACAAGGAACAAGATGGTAACTTTCTTTTGTACAGTGAAAACTGACAGACATTTTTTGGTTTCTTGTACATCCCTATAAATACGTATATATAAATATGAAAAAAAAAATACAAATATATATCTATATATAAATGAATGGCAGTGGTGAGACCTGCAGATTATATTAGAGAAGAAAGTCATTTGAAACTATTTTCTAATACATACTGACTTTTATTTAAAAAAAAGGACAAACTACTGATTTGTTTTAGTGAGTACAGAAAGTCTTGCTTGTGTCTGACGCAGGATGAGGCATTCCATTTGTTTTTTGTCCATATTTAGAATGCAGTAAAAAGTCTTTACACAGACACCAGTTTCTAAACAGCCCCCGATGTGAGCTCCAGTTTGTACTGTGCCAAATATCATATGCAATAAAATCTGTGTGTAGTCCGAGGACCACAGCAAGCCCCACTGGGAAAATGTCTCTAGATTTGTCCGACGATAGCAGTTGCACAGATAGAATGTGCTTCAGGAGCCATCAGCCAAATGCTTTCGGACTGCAGTGAATTTCTGCAGCTAAGGATTAACCATGTGCTGGCTGGAGCTAAGCGTTCATTTGCCGGTGGCCGTGTCTGAGTTGTAGCGTATTGAACTGTTTTCTTTGGTGTGCACACGACTCCAGTGGGGGGGTAAAAAAAAAACAAAAAAGATGTCATTTCAGGCTGCTACCAGTCAATGCAAATGCTCTGTTCTGTCATTGGGTGCATTTTTGTATATCTTTCTTGTCCATTAGGTTTTTCTGACATGCTTCTTTATGGCTTGTGTAGTGTTTAGGGCTAATTTAGTAACGCATTACAGCAGTTGCCTGACTTGTCTAAGCAAGGGCTCATTCCAATGCTAATTTTCAGAAGGAACAGATGTGGTGCAGTGATACAGGGCTGACCGCTCGCTAGCTCTGCTGTCGGAGAAGCAAGAGACAAAAACTAAATGAATGTCTGAAACTGGGGCTTTTTCATGAACTACATTGACATTCTGACTTTCTTTTCAACTGTTTCCTTTGAGCAACACTATTTTTATGGAAGGAGGCAATGAAAAATGATAATAAAAAGAAAAATCTTGGGTTTGTATTTCTCTAAACGGAAACCCTGATGTCTTGTCTTGTGTTTTAAATCTCTGTACATCTCCATGTTAAGTTCTTTCATAGCTGCAGGCTGTATTGTACTCCTAACCCAAATCGCGCAGTCTTACGCTGCTATGCATTTGCAGAGTGAGTGCATGAATGGCCCTTTAAGTAGCAGACGTACAATGCAGCATTCAGCGCCACACAGGGGCTTTGATGCCTGGGATTATGGGGTGGCATGAATGTGGTGTGTGAGCGAGTGATGGTGGTGGTCCGAGGGGTTGACAGTGGAGATTGGAAGCCCCGGCATGGTCAGTTTACCCAACTGCAGCCGTGGCAAATGCATTATTGATTTCCCAGTAACGGTGAAAGGGAAAAGCATATGTCACACCTTTATACAGTTAAAGGAGACGTAGGGTGTTTCTAACTATGTTATATATATATATATATATATATAAATATATATATATATTTTTTTTTACCTTATTCTTTATATTTTGAAATTGATTTAAGTGATTCATGTCTGATAAATGGTATAATTGATTTCACGAGTTCACACCAGCTATTCTTCAAACTTTTATAGCATTTTTTTTATCTCAGGCAAAATTGTGCAGGCATTTTGGTCTGATAAATAACTGTTACTGTGATCTACTGGCACTTTGTTGTGATGACAATGACAGTGGCCAAGGACAGTCAAAAAATAGTACTAAACAAATTGATTTTACTTTATGTAATTGATGATTCAATTACATAAAGACAGAGCATAGAATGCAAACATGAAATAAGAAAAGAGAGCAGATGTTCCTGCCAAACAAATATTTTAACTTTTAGAGAGACATAAAGGTTTTGTGCAGGTATCAGGCATCAGTATCAGCGAGTACTTTCTCAAAGTAATTTAATACCACTATTACCAAAATAATCCACAGTGTATAAGTTTCCTGGACAGATGTGAACTGCTGCTGTTTACAGCTTGTGGCTAATGTTGCAGCTAACGCACACTGACGCTGACATGCAGAGGCTCAGCAGATGCCAACACACTCATTCTGAAAGATTAAGTATATATTATATATATATATATATATATATATATATATTACTTAACTCTGGGTTGCTTCAAGTGGCCTTTGGAAATGCAGCCTTTATTCTTCCTGCTTAAATAATGTGTCATGTGCTACACTACAAAACAGTTAAAAAGATTCAAAATTACTGAAATTTTAATAGTGATCGATAATCTTTATGTACTTTAAATACTTCCAAGTTTACTCTGAAGTTCATTTCTAAATCAATTACAATAATCTAAACCAGACAATAGAGCAAGACAATATGTGGTATCAGACCGGAATTGTGTAGGAGTTCCAAATAATAATGTTATAATATGTTATATTTGAAGAGTCAATAACTGATTTTGTAGTGTTATATATCGATAACTTACTGGCCGATTGATATCTAACAAAGCTGATCTAAAACTGTGTCAGAGTTCAAAAGTACATGTATATGAAAACTACTCATCAAAAGTACGCCTTCTCAATTTAGAGAAAAACATCTAAACATGACGAGTGGCTGGATGGTTTCCATAGTGATGTTTCTTTTGCTATAACACTAAATATCGACAACAAACTTGCATTCGTCAAAGCAGAGCCAGATTTCCAAGATAAAAGAGGAGACATGTCGTATATTTCATATTGGAAATTCAATCACTATGAATGCTTCATAGAAAAAAAAAAAAAAAAAAAACACTTTATACTGATGCAGTCATAAAAACCACCCTGAATATTTTAGAAAACAAAATGGGGGAGTAAAAGAAAGAAAAAAACTTGTTTACTGCAAATTTGTGCTTACACTGACGCAACCTGCCACTGATGTAACATGGCTCAACAAACGCTTCACAGAATTTCAGTCGGTGTCGTCTGGGCAAACAATTTGTGCGTTTATTTTTCTGAGCGGAAATTACAGCGTGCCTATTACCAAGTAGAAAAACAACAAACCTCAAGGCGGGAGAGGTATTAGCTGGTTGTTAAAAATAGACGCTCATTTAAATACAGCATGTACAGTATCTATCACTTTTATCGGAAAAAATTAGGACAGCGTTATGCAGGGCGTCTGGTTGAGGAGTGCCTTTTTCTTTTGTTAATTAATTATAATGGGTATTTGCTGTGACACTTGATAATGGATTCACTTGTGTTTCAGGTGCAAAGGGATGGCTTTTCTTTTTTTGTAAAGAAAAAGCGAAGGCCCATGCACTGTACAAAGATTTATGATCACGCTTCACTTGAGGATAAAAATAAGTTCTGACTATGTTCATCAAATACCTTTTAATATTTCTATGATTGTAAAAAACGCAACCAATGAACACCCCCGGATCCAGAACACTTGCTATACAGCGACCTGGCTTCCCACAATTATTTATCGACATGTCTCTTTTCAATTTTTTTTCTATTGTTGATTTAGTTGTCACCCATCCCCCTACAAAGCATCATAGCTCCACCTTCAGTTACTTTTTATCCGGCACCAAATGGTTTATAAGAGAAAATATATGCATAAAGGAATACAAATGGAGAAAGCCATTAACTTGAAAAGAGAGAAATCACCCAATGGAAGTTTATTTCTGCAACTAGTGGATTTCAAACATGGTGTTTTCTAAATTAACACAGCAAAGGAAGGTTTCTCACCCTACATCTGTATTTCCCTTGAAAAAGTTCTTTGGATTAAGGATGAAACAGGGAAAACATGCTAAGAAGTGCAGATGATGGGTGAGAAACCTTCCTTTGCTTTGACTAATCCCTGTACACAAAGAGAGCTTACACAAAGTAAATTAACACAGATATAAAGATGAATGTTACGCCCACTGCTATGACGAGATGCAACAAAGTTAATGATACAAGACTCATTGCTTAACAGACATCAACTGACTTTACATTTCTTTCCTTGGCAAAATATTTAGTCTTGTCCAGCTTACTGGCCGAAACCAAATATTTACAACTTAAAAAAACAAACATCTGTTGGATTAGTTGGATTGTTTCAGATTAAATTAACCTAAATAACAGGATTCATAATTTATATACAATGACATCAAGTGATAAATGACACTTGGAAGATACAAAAACCCATGAAGTCTTCTTAGTCTGTACTATGTGTACTAGGGGTGGGAAACTCAGGGTACCTCACGATACGATACGATGTGCGATACAAAGCTCACGATAACGATTATCTCACGATATGACGATGCAGCGATTATTGATATATTGGTCAAAAATATACCTACGATAATATTTGTCTCATATTTATGGCATAAATTAAGTGATAAAATACACTTTATTTCAAGATAAATGGAGAATGCGTAATGTAGCTATATTTTAAGTAGCAATGCTGTTTTTCAAGTAAAGCTTACAAAATAATAATAATAATAAAAAAAAAATCATACTTTTTTTATCAATACTTAGCAAAAGCATATTGAAAATCGATCACATGAGAAAGTATCACCATACATCACCATATCGATATATTGTCACACTCCTAATGTGTACTATTCAATAATCTAACTTCAACTGCAAATGAAAACAGTAAAACAAAACAAAAAATATCGTTCAACCTCTGCTTATCAGATTTTCAGTTTTGAACCGGAAGTGAATGAATCTGTTTCTATTCCTTCTCTATTCCAGTTTTAGATCAAGGATGCGACACATAGAAAATCAAATCCTAATCCAAGTGGTGTTATTGCCCTGTGCTAAATATGTCATATGTCTCCTTTAAGAACACTCACCTTGTCGGAGATGCATTCCGTCATTTTGTCCTTGCCCGAGACGTTGACAAAGAAACAAAGCAATAAAATGGAA